GACGCTATCAGAGTCTGGTGTCCCCTCTCTACTGGGGAGTTCGACTATGGGTGATAGGCGGTGGCTATCGAAACTCTCGCACCGGCTCTCCTAAACACGCCCTGAACCTCGTCGGCTAGGAATTCCGCCCCTCTGTCCATCACTATCTTGCTGACACAACCATACCTAGATAAGTACTCTAGGACAAAGTTCTTTACTTCCTTTGCTGCCTTACTCCTGATAGGTCTATCGTCCACGAACCCAGTGAAATTGTCTCGTATGTTCACGACATAGTTCATATTGCCTACCCCTCTCGGCATTTTCACTAGATCGATGTGTACCTTCTCACCTAGTCTGGTCGGATAGGATGGATGAAGTGGCTCTTTGTATTTCACAAGAGCTCTCTTCTGACACTCTTCGCATCTCATACAGTACCTCTCGACGTCCTTATAGTGTCCTTCCTACCAGTACAGCCGGCGTATCTTTTCGTAGGTTCTTTTAACTCACTTGTGTCCTCCGACTACCCTGTCATGAAGCTCCGCAACTATCGTCTGTCTCTCCTCAGGATCACAGACTACTCGTAAGGGCATTCCCGACCCTACTGACCTTCGGAAAAGGTGGCCTGCTCTAAGGCAGTACTGGGCTGCGTGCCTCCGGATATCTGAATCTTGACTCTCCTCTCCCGTCAGGTGTAGTCCGATCATTCGGTACTCGCCCTCGTAAAGATTAACTAGAAATTTATCGGCGCGTCTCGGCTCTGCCATTGTCAGRGCCCCAGCTACTATCGGACGCTCGAGAGGGATGCGTGAACGTCTATCTGCCACGACATTTTTAGTACCAGATATTCTCTCAACCGTATAATCGTATAGCCAAATCCGTATTAACCATCGGACGATGGTCGGGTCCGTCAGACTAAAGTCCTTCTGGAGAACAGAGGCAACCGCGGTGGGGTCTATTTTCAAGATGAACCGTCGCCCATAGATATAGTGTCTGAACGTGTCTAGACACCGGAGAACAGCTAACACTTCCTTCTTGAATTGACTGTAGTTACGCTCAGCCGTATTAAGTGTCTTACTCTCAAATCTTAACAGTCTTTCCTTCCCTCCACCGTCCTTCTGAGACAGCAAACCACTCACTGAACATGGTCCAGCATCCGTGGATACTATGACGGGTCTCTCAGTCTCATCGTCAAAGAATGACACACCCAACACTCGTCCTCCTTCCTTAAATTCGTCTTTAAGTTCTTGCATAGCAAGKTCCTGCGAAGAATTCCAATAGCAGTTTTTTGTCTTTCGAAGGAGTAACCTCAATGACTCAGCCTTCTCCGCATACCCCCGTATGAATATACGCAAGTAATCGACCACTCCTAGAAACTGCCGGACCTCGGTTGGGCTATGTAACGGTGAGGGCAAGTTCAGAAGTTTGTCTAACTTCGCCGGATCTGCTCGGCGTCCTCTCGAGTCACAAATAAAAACCAAGATCTTAATAGTCGAGACGGCCCATCGGCTCTTTGTTCCGCTGACTGTTAAATTCGCATCGTCCAGCTGCTCGAGTACCGAGCGAATATCTGTTAGGTGCTGCTCGACGAATCTTCTAACTCCAGGTACAACCTCTGTCTAATCCCTGTCTACTGACCCTTTTATAGGAAAGTCGTCCAGAAAAACTTCAACCTTATCAGGGATGAAGTCCTTGAGGACGGCTACCATGACTCTCGGAAAAACGGCTACCCCATTAGTCCAACCCATAGGGACAACCATCATTTGAATTAGTCCCAATGGCATATGCATAGCCGTGAGGTGCCTGTCCCTAGGGTCAAGCGGTACCTCATCAGAGCCTGAGAACAGATCACAGACCGAATAGATCGACCTACCCGCTGCACCTTCTGCCAGTAAATCGGCGTGTGGCACGGAGCCCACGTCTCGTATCGTCACCGCGTTGACCTTCTGAAGGTCCTGGATCCATCGGATCTTGCCATTCGGCTTTCGTAGGAAGAACCATAGCATAAGCGCTATCAGACGGCTCCGCAACGTGGGAAACCATCTTTTCTTTCAGGAAAGCGATAACTTCTTCCTTCTCCTTTTGGGCGTATTTCCATCCTGCGTCATTCCAAGGAACATGTGGAATCGTATAAATCCTCACTGGCTTAGCGTATCGAGGGTCAATCCTACCGCGCTCCGCGTCGCTGAAAGCTATTGCCTTATCACATGTCTTCAGAATTTCTATCACNATTTCTATCACACGTCCTCGCTCCTGTGGGGTCAAATTTCCATCTCCGATGTCCATCCCTGCTATCCTCTCTTCCGTTAGGCGTTGTGGCTCCTTTTTCTTTCTTTCTTTGATTTCTTTCGCGATCTCTTCTTCTGATMCCCCTTCCAGTGCTGATCGCTCGCGGCCCACCGCCGCTGGCTTAACTTTTTGAGCAACTCTTTTGTATCGCTTGGGTAGCCCCCCATAGGGGGCCGTGCCCTTAAAAAAGACACAGATACCACACCGCCAAATTCCTCATTTTTTTCTTTTGGGTACGAGTTGCCGTCCACTATTAGCCGACTCCCTAAATCTTCCACCTCCACGACCCGACCTTCTTCCTTTGTGAGGAGTGGTCCATATTTCTTCTCGCGAAATCGCACCGCGCGGCCGGAGATAGGTAATGACTTAATCTGTTCACTGGGTCTCGCACCCACAGCGAGAGCCGCTCTGTTCCTCGGGTCCCGAGGCTCCACTGTCTCAATCATTACCCGCGTCCCGTCTGGCTTCCTAATGGACAATGTTTGGCTTCCATCAGGTCGCTCTATCGTCACCGCATGCACGTGGCTCAGCCACGTTCGACCCAAGAGCAGGTCGGAGCTGCAGTTCTTGACCGCCAAAACAGGCAGGGTCACTCGTACCCCTTGGACCTCTATGGCTGCCTTGTGACAAACCCCAGTGATCTGTTGCTTTCTCCCATCAGCCGTCTCTATCTCGAATAGGTATGACCTATCGAGGCCCAGTCCAACCTGTACTGCCAAGTCCTCGTCTATGATGACAGCCTCACAGCCGTTATCGATCACAGCATCGAGTACCGCTCCATCGTTTATAATCGTCTCCACGGCCCCGATACCAAATATATAAAACTTGTCTGGAGGCACACCTTCCATTCCATAGAGAAGGACTGTCACCATGCGATCCGCTCTGGCAGTCATCTTCGTTACTGCTACTATAGAAGCTTCCGCCTTAGGAGCTCCCTGACCCTCCTCTGATAGAGGTATGCGAGTCTTCCGCGTGATCATCTGTAATTCATCACGAGCAGGCTTCGATGCCGCCAGGTACTCCAGAATAGAGCACTGCATGGGTTGCCAAAGGGCCCGCCTCAGTGGCTCGACCATCTCAATCTCGTCCAGCGAACTCTTCATTAAAAACTTCTTCACTCCCCGCTTTCGCGGCGAAAGGATAACCTCCTCTCCATCGACCCGCTGCCCGTCCTTCTCCGCCATCACGTAATCCGTGTCAGTCTTCTTCGATGTAGATCCTCTTGCCGACTTGGTGGCTCCCACCCTTATGGGTGTGATCACGATATCCCCCTCAAAGGTTATCTTGATGCTCTGGCTCCTGACCGGCTCCATTCCTTTACTCGTCTTTATTCTCCTTGCTTCGACGTTCTCCTTCATCGAAGGGAATATCGATACATCTCCCAGATCATCTGCCCACTTAACATACTTGCGGTCGTCAAGCACGACAAGTCCCTCATCTATTGCCCGTTTGAGGTCCGGGCAATCCCTCTTGATATGATCTTCTCCTCTACAGTAGACGCATGAGTTCCTGGGAGCAGATGCCCTGTCCTCTTCGCCTCTAGAGATCGAACTTCTGGCCGCCTTTGGGTCAGGCGACTTGGGATATGGTTCTGATGAGACGCCATATCCCCCTCTCTCATTCCGACCACGCGGATCGTTGCGCCAGTCTCCTCCAGACCCTCATTGCTCATACCGCCTTCGCGAATCATTTCGGCGGTCCCCCGAGTCATATCGTCCTCGTTGTGGGGAAATCCGGGGAGGGGTCGCCTGCTGCTCGCTAAAGCCAAGGGCAACAACGCCTGTCACTCGCTGCGCCCGCTTCCGAGGTCCTCAGCGACCAGCAGGGTTTGTGGGGAATGTGTCGCCTGTTGTGTCCCCACTCTAGAGTCCTTAGAGCATTAGCATCTCCTTGCCCCAAACTTAGCTCTTTTCTCAATGAGCATTAACGTTATCAACAAATCAGTCAATGTTCCACTCTCGGTCAATGACAACAAGGTCAGCAAGTAAAGGGCTGCTCTATTCCCAGTGGATAGCAAAGGGGGCACCGATTCAAACACTGACTGAATTATGATGTTCTGGGAAATTAACACTCACTGGTCTGATCAGAGTCAGCAACGAGAACAGCAACGACGCAAACACAGCTCTGTTAGGGGTGAACAACCGGGGTAGCTCGAATTTTAAGGTCGTCCGATTTATAGTGTTCCGAAGGGTGGACAGTGAACTAAACGAACTTAACTAATTAAGGACTTTTTTGAACAAGTCTCCCTTCAGAATCGTGCTAGGCTACTTTCGAGAACTCATCTCTTAGTGCGGCCCTTCTCTCGTTGCGAACTGCTCTCTCCTTCTCAGATCTCTCTTCACCTGATTCTCTCTCTTCGTTCCGTTGTTCTCTCTCGCAGTCCTCACGTCATTCTCTCTCTGTTCTCTCTCTCGCCCATTGTTTTCTCTCGCTGTTCTCAGGCCATTCTCTCTCTGTTCTCTCCCTCTCTCCCTCCACAATCGCACTGCTCTTTCGCTTCGAAGAGGGAACGTGGGGGTGGTCCCCCTCTTTTTTTTTGTGGTTCACCCAAAAGTGAAAGGATTTTCAATTTGAATTTGACATATATTTGACAGAGGACGGGCTGTCGCAGTGTAACAGCGACAGATGAAAATTGGCCCAGCAGGAAGCCGAGAAGAATTTGTTTCCGATTCAGGCGGTATGTTTCCGAGAGAATCCCGTCCTACTAGAAGCCCACGCCAAAAAAAAGAGTAGCAATATCAGATAATAAAGAAAAAGAAAAGGGCACCGTTAGCGCCAGCATAGCTTTCCTTATCGGAACACCCCTACCTCACGCTTGTTTCTCTTTTGGAGCCGCGTGGCGACTCACAACTTTGCGGGAAGGTTTATGATTGTCACAATTTGCGAGAGCAAAGCCCTTCTCCCGCCCACAGCGGAAGAGCTCGTGAATTGTCGACCAGCTAGAGTCATGTGTTTGGCCCGACCGCGGCGAGATAGCTCGTTTAGGCAATTTGCAGTTACGATGTCTCTGGCCGCCCGCAGCGGGAAGGCACAAATAGCCAATCAGGAATGACGATGTCTTTGTCCAGCTTCCAGCGGAAAGGCTCGTTAAAGGAAATAGCAGTGATAAAGCCTCTGGCCCGCGCGCAGCGGAAAGGCTCGAAAGGCCAATCAGGAATAACGATGTCTTCGACCAACTTCCTGCGGAAAGGCTCGTTAGAGCAAACAGCAGTAATAAAGTCTCTTGCTCGCACACAGCGGGAATGCTCGTGAATTGTCGATCAGCTAGAGTCATGTGTTTGGCCCGACCGCGGCAAGATAGCTCAATTAGGCAATTTGCAGTAACGATGTCTCTGGCCCGCCTGCAGCGGGAAGGCATAAATAGCCAATCAGGAATGACGATGTCTTTGACCAGCTTCCAGCGGAAAGGCTCGTTAAAGCAAATAGCAGTGATAAAGCCTCTGGCCCGCGCGCAGCGGGAAGGCTCGAAAGGCCAATCAGGAATAACGATGTCTTTGACCAACTTCCTGCGGAAAGGCTCGTTAGAGCAAACAGCAGTAATAAAGTCTCTAGCTCGCACACAGCGGGAATGCTCGTGAATTGTCGATCAGCTAGAGTCATGTGTTTGGCCCGACCGCGGCGAGATAGCTCAATTAGGCAATTTGCAGTAACGATGTCTCTGGCCCGCCTACAGCGGGAAGGCACAAATAGCCAATCAGGAATGACGATGTCTTTGACTAGCTTCCAGTGGAAAGGCTCGTTAAAGCAAATAGCAGTGATAAAGCCTCTGGCCCGCGCGCAGCGGGAAGGCTCGAAAGGCCAATCAGGAATAACGATGTCTTCGACCAACTTCTTGCGGAAAGGCTCGTTAGAGCAAACAACAGTAATAAAGTCTCTGGCTCGCACACAGCGGGAATGCTCGTGAAGCCAATCAGATGTTGTCCTTTCCACTGCGCTCCTCCGCTCTCTCGTTCATGCCTTCTCCTCACCTTCGCTCACGCCTTCCCGTACTCACTTCCTCTCGCACTGCACTCTCTCCTCCCCCGCACAGTCTCTCTCTCCCTTTGCTCAGCCTCACTCTCTCTCTCGGTGTCTGACCAGTCTAACTAAGGTAGTAGCTGGGAACGCCTTGCACACACCGTCTATCTCCCCCTGCCATTACTCACGCGCAGTGACCGCCCGAACACGAAGGCCTCAGTCTTGCTTGCAAACGCGTCTCTCCCGTCCTTACGTCGCGAGGACACCTTGCACTCCTCCCTCTGCCGCCAGCACTACGCCGACCGTGCACGCTTCTCTCTGTTGCATGCGCTGCGCCCACCGTGCAAGCTTCTCCTGCATTGACTCCGCCTGCATCCGTACTGTGACGCGGGTTGGGTACACCGTGCATACTCCCCCTGCTCTCTAGTCCCCTTTCCCTTTATGGTTTTCCCGCACAGCTGAACGTGGTCTTTCGTCCTCCCAGGTCCAATCCGTAGGCCTTCGTAGGCTGAAGGTAAAAGCAGGGCCAGGCCTACCACTGGTGCAGTGGAACCCATATACAGTCTCAGCGGGACCTGCAACTGAAACCTGCTTGTAAAAAGAAAGCCAGATACTTCCGTATGGCAGGTACCCGTACCAAACTTGTCACTTTTACGCTCCAAAGCCAACCACAGTACTGAAAAGCAATTGTATTGTACCAGTAACCAACACAAAAGCCGAACCGCAGTCCAACTGTTGCTCCCAACACCCAGTTACCATGCTTGTTCCGTATCTGTCCCGGATCAGAGTGTCGGGCCGAACCGGAAATAGCCACTTGACAATTCTGAGTTGCCAACACCGAACCTGAAAGTGATGTAGTGATGTGTATCATACCGATGCCGGATACCGTAGAAAACTGAAAAGCCAGGGTAGTACCGAACCTATTCCGGACCTGAAACAACCATCCCCAAGCCTGTTAAGAAAACAGACGCGTGTACCACTTCGGCGCCGAGCCAATGCCGTATCAATACCGAACCCGCAAAAGATATGCGGCCTGTACCTCAGCGGTGCTAAACCAATGCCGAACACGAGACAACTGTACCATGCCGATGCCGAACCAATACCGAGCCAACACCGAATCTGAGAACATGTCAAATGCCGCACAATACCGTGGTCCCAAAGCTGAAATAAAGCGCCAGAGTGGCACCAAGCGTGGAATAAATGGCCGCAGTGACGGTGCTGAGCCTGGGTTAATTATTCGTGACAACGCCGAACCTGGGATAAACTGCTGCCAACGTCTCTAACCTGGAATAACTGTCGTAGTAGCCCCGGTCCTGAGAATAAATTACCGTACATGTCCCAAACTTGAAAATAAGTCACCGTAGTGAAACAACTGTCACCGGCCAGACACCGAAGTACGAAGCCACTCCGTAACAACCCTCGTATCCGTACTGAACCAAACACCATAGTCGACCCAAGGTAGCACCACCCCATGCTGTCCATGCGATCGTCCTCGGACTGTCACAGTGAAGTTAGTAAATAGGTGGATCGGGAAAGTGGCACGAAAAACCTTGATCATCAGGGATTGGCGAAAAAGATGGGGATCCAGAGAAGACTGATTAATCGGGGTTCAGAGCCGAGCGTGGGAAATCCAAGGAAAATCAGGCCAAGCATCGAATAATCATCGGTTTTTGTTCGTTCCATCATTTTTAATCATCCCCCCCTTTTCTTAACTCTATTACCCGAAATAGTAAAATAACCGTAAACTTACCGAAAATAAATTCCGAGAAAGTCTTAATTAAATTGTTGAAATTCTTTGTTCCTTTTCTCCTTTATCGTTTTTAATCTTTTCCTTTGTTTTCGATTCCATTGCCGGAAAATATAAAAATAACGGAATATTTTCCCCAAAACTCAAATGCTGCGAAAAACAAGGAAATCAAGGAATATTACGTTTTGTTCTTTCCTCCTACTGTTCTCAATCTCTTCTCCCATCTTTGATTTAGATACAAAAAATGACAAAAAATTCAGGCGCTATTTTGACCCCGATCATACGCTGCAAAAAACGTCGCAGCGGGGTTAGTCCTCGCGATGCCCCCTCGCGGCAGGCCAATTCGGGTCTAACCCTCTGAACGGCCGGAAATGACGGTCCGTTGATGTGCCGAGTGCGACCACCCATCTTGCCATTTTTTAGGGTTACCCGTAAGGTCTAGCACGCCCAAAATCAAGGGCGCCATGAGGTCCCCTAATCTCCGCCGCCTGGTCTAACCATAGTACCGTCAAAACTCAGACTCGTTTTCGCGCCTAAGTCCCAAAACCATAGATTTCAGGCGGTGCACTGCTTGTGGCCGCCTGAYAGTTAGCCCGGACCACTTCTCGACGCCCCCGTCGGGCCCTAGCAACTTACGTCATACGAAGCGGATGAGCTTCAGGGTTATGGCTCGTAAAGGACACCCACGTCGGCGCTCAATTGTCTTATGTTTAAGTTTGTTACGAGTCCGGGGGCTAAGAAGATGCTTCTTGATTCTCCTGTTTCTTCTGGTTTTTGGTCCCGGCACGATCCTCTTTTTCTTCTGTCTTTGCCCCGAGAAGGGTGTCGACCCGCTAGTACGTCTAACGCGAACTCTCCGTCTAGCTCGCTTGAGCACGAATAACCATCTCTTCTCTCTTCCTAAAGCTAACCCTTTGACCTTTCTCTTCTCTATTCTTTTCCTTTTCTTGGAACT